AGGGTGGAGTTCAGTGGCACAATCTCGGGTCACTGCAACCTCTACCTCCCAGATTCAGGTGGTTCTTCTGTCTCAGCCTCCTGAGTAGTTGGGATTACAGGCACCTGCCACCACATCTGGCTAATTTATTGTATTTTGAGTAGAGACTGAGCTTCACCAGGTTGGCCAGGCTGATCTTGAACTCCTGGCCTCAAGTATCTGCCCACCTTACCTTCTCTGGGATTACAGGTATGAGCTACTGCGCGCACCCAGTTTTTGCCCACTTTTATATGGGGTTGGATTTTTATAGTTTTGGGTTTTACATTTAAATCTTTAATCCATTTTCAGTTCATTTTTGTATAGGAAGGGGTCCAGTTTCAGTTTTCTGCATATGTCTAGCCAGTATTTCCAGCACCATTTATTATTAAATAGGGAGTCCTTTCCCCATTGCTTGTTTTCATCCAAAATAAAATGGTTGTAGATGTGCAGTCTTATTTCTGATATCTCTATTCCATTCCATTGGTCTACGTGTCTGTTTTGTACCACTACCATGCTGTTTGGGTTACTGTAGCCTTGTAATATGGGTTGAAGTCAGGTAACAGGATGCCTCCAGCTTTGTTATTTTTACTTAGGATTGTCCAGGGTATATGGACTCTTTTTTCGTTTCATATGAATTCTGAAGTAGTTTTTTCTAATTTTGTAAAGAATGTCCATGGTAGTTTATGGGAATAGCATTGAATCTATGAATTACTTTGGGAAGTATGGCCATTTTCATGATATTGATTCTTCTTACCCATGAGCATGGAATGTTTTTCCATCTGTTTGTGTCCTCTCTTATTTCCTTGAGTAGTGGTTTGTAGTTCTCCTTGAAGAGGTCCTTCACTTGCCTTGTTAGCTGTATTCCTAGGTAGGTATTTTATACTCTTTGTAGCAATTGTAAATGTGAATTAATTTGTGATTTGGCTCTCTTCTTGTCTATTGTTGGTGTATAAGAGTGCTTGAGACTTTTGCACACTGATTTTGTATCTTGAGACTTTGCTGAAGTTGCTTGTAGCTTAAGAATCTTTTGGGCTGAGGTGATGAGATCTTATAGATATAGGATCATGTCATCTGCAAAAAAAGACAGTTCGACTTCCTCTTTTCCTGTTTGAATATGCTTTATTTCTTTCTCTTGCCTAATTGCCTTGGCCAGAACTTCCAACACTATATTGAATAGGAGTGGTGAGAGAAGGCATCTTGCCTTGTGCCAAATTTCAAATGGAATGCTTCCAGCTTTTGCCTATTCAATATGATATTGACAGTGGGTTTGTCATAAATGGTTCTTATTATTTTGAGGCATGTTCCATCAATACCTAGTTTCATAAGAGTTTTTAACATAAAGGAATGTTGAATTTTATCAAAGACCTTTTCTGAGTCAACTGAAATAATCATGGGGTTTTTGTCTTTAGTTCTGTTTATGTGGTGAATTACATTAATTGATTTGCATATGTTGAACCAGTCTTGCACCCAAGGGATGAGGCTGACTTGATCTTGGTGGATAAGCTTTTTGATGTATTGCTGGATTTGGTTTGCCATTATTATATTGAGAATTTTGCATCCAAGTTTATCAGAAATACTAAGCTAAAGTGTAGTAAATACATTGAAAATAATAACAGACTGTTTAAAAGACTAAATAATATGAATCCTAAGTGTTTTCACAACTGATTTATAGAGTAAAAGCATTGCCAAACTAAATGAGCTTGGCCAAAAACTGTACAGGGTCTGAGATGTTGTCTCAACTTCCATTACTCGTTGTGAGGTGGACCTGCAGTAACTATATTTGATGCAAAATTTCATGTTGATGGAAGCTGAGATGTCCTGCAGTCTCAGAGGGACAGTATTCTGGTGTGTCTCCCTTTGGCCTGTCAGGAATGAAGATCTAGACTCTACAGGTTTTGTCAAAATTTACAGGATGTAGGAAATGGGGCAGGATTTAGGCTGTGAGGCAAAGCCTAGAGATATAAAGAAACAGCTTCTGACCCAGGGCTCATGAAGTCAGGATAGTTTCAGAGAGGATGGTACAGTGAGCATAGTACAGTCTTTGGAACCATTCCTTCCCCTTATTTGTTCATAGGCCAGAGGTGCTCAACCAGGGGGCATCTTGGGTCTGATGAACAGAGTCCTGGAGAGACAAAGGGGCAATCCTGAGGAAGAGGCTCAACAGGGAGGAAGGAGCCACCATTTTCTCTCCTGAGAAAAATCCTTCTCCCTAGGAAACCATAGGATTTTCCTTGGTCCCAGTGAGAGTTTTCCTGAGTGAAGAGAACAGAGAGAGCAAGGGACTGATGTGTTATCTGTTTCCACTACCTGCAGTGATTCTGAAACCATGGGGACAGAATTATCTTCAGAATCATGAGCAATCCAGATGCCATGGTTTCACACAAGACACTGGAAGTTCTTATCTCTGGGGGGTAGGCTGGTCATTGATATTCTTTAAAGCGCATTCACTGATTACAAAGTGAGCCAAATTTATAATCTACTGCAAGTTTAACTAATCTCACTTTACTTCACACAGACACATTGTTAATATACACATTTTGATGCTTGGACAGGGTTGAACTCAAGATTCTGTACTTTTCTATAGAGCCCTGTGTTCTGCCCAGGTGTCATTTACTCTCAGGTAAGTAAACTGATCACCATAACTAACAAGAGATTGATCAGTGATGATTAGAAATGAAAAGACCTGTTGGTTATGTTTTACTGGGATGGATTCTATTAACATTTAAATACAGTTTAAAAACAGAGATTTACAATGAAAAGTAACAAGCAAATATAAAAAGTGAAGGGGCTATTCCCCAAACTAGTTTCCACTGAAATACCACCAGAGAAAAACAACTCTCAGGACAGGGATACTGCTTCAAAGACACAGATTTCACAGCTGGATGGTTGATCTAGAATTTCCGAAAATTCCATCCTTTACTCATGAAATGCAGTTTATTTAAGAACTTTCTAATTTGACTGTAGTTTCATAGTCATACACTTCAGAGTATTGTATATTATTCCATTTATGATAAGTATAACATATTTGAAAATGAATTACATACTGGTGAGAAAATTTCCCCTTTAAATTAAACTTAAACTGACACCATAAAATTAGCAGCATCTGTTTGTCTGTTCCAAGAATTACCTAGGTTCTACCCAGGGCACCTGAGGTCAGTTGAAAACAAATGCAAAAAAAGTTAGGGTAAAAAATAAGAACACCCTTCCAATGTTACAAATGCATCCCAGTTTCAATTATTCACATTCACGAGAATGATTCACATATATCCCACATTAGCAAAATTTCACCTACTCTTGCCTACCAATTGACTAATCAAAACAAACCAAGACAGAATAATAAATTCAAATCCATCCAGTAACCTGAGGGGGAAACCTACACCTCAAAATGTAGTATACAGATATTCACACAGGATGTCATCTACTGTGAAAACACATACACAGAGACAGTCCCTTCACATGATCAGAATAATCACAACTCCACAACAACATATTAGATATGGGATCATCTTGAAATGCAGCCATCACTAACCAGTTGTCCCTTTTGCATAGACAAAAACCTGAGGACCACATTATGTTATGTAGGAATGACTGTACACACCTGTGTGTGTGTGTGTGTGTGTGTGTGTGTAGGGATCCGTGGAATCCAATAGACATTCCAGCAATAACCTTTCCATGTTCAGCCTCTTGATTCTATATCTGAGTGAAATGACTTGCCAGTGGGGAACAAGACAAGTCTTTGCAGGAAATGCTCTTGTGGAAGCTAGATAGCCAAATCATAAAGCATCAACTGCTGGAAACATGCATTGAAGTTAGATGAAATACTCAATGCACAAATTAGATTGTGAAAGACCTGCAGGAAATCATGCAATCACTGAGAGGCTGATTGATGACATTCCCCGAATTTATGATTGCAAGAAAAGAGAAATACTCATGACATTCTATTTCCAGTAGTTGCGGACGTACGAAGGCAATTTAAGAAATCATGAAATCAAGAAACTTGAATAATCGGAAGCTATGCCAACTAAAACCTTCGGTTCCTTTAACAAAGCATGAAAATAAAAACAACATATCACACAGCATGGGAGATGGCATTTTCATATGTATGTGATAATGGATCAACATTTGAGAGAGATGCAATAAAAAGTTCTAAATTTGACAAAAGCAAACAACCAGAATTAAACACTGGAAAAGCCTGGGTGACGGGAGTGAGACGCCCTGTCTCAAGAAGAAAGAAACAGAGAGATTTAAAAGCAGGGAGTGAAACAGAGGTTTGTACACCATTGTTACTACTGGCCCTTGTTTCAGTAGGAAAAGGTGCAAAGAAGACATTTATCTCATGGATTCTTGCATGGATTGTTCAGTATCTGCGATGTTGCCTCCGTTTCCAGTTAGGCATTGTGTGGTGGACTGGCAGTTCCCACATTTGGTGCAAAATTTAAAGCTGATGAATGTAGACATGTTCCCCAAACTAGGAGGGGCAGAATTTGGGTGTGTCTTCAGGCCCTTTGACTTACCAGGAATGAAGATCCTGGCTCCAGGGATTTTGTCAAAATGTCTTAGAGAGTGAGAAACGGGGCAGAATTTAGGCCCCGTGCCAACGCCTCGAGGTGTAAAGAAACACCCTGGCCTCAGGGCCCATGAAATCAGGATGATTTTAGGGAGGATGGTGGAATGAGAGGACTGTGACCTTTGGCCCCGTTTCTTTCCACGTTCTTTTCGTGAGGCAGGTGTGTTCAATCAGAAGGCTTCCCGTGCCCGATGAAAAAAGTCCTGGGGGAGGAAAGAAGCGCTGCTTAAAGAGTTGCTCCACAGGGAGAAAGGAGCCACCATTTTCAGGAGGATGATCCCCAGAAGCATGAGCAGTCCAGATGCCGTGGCTTCACACAAGACGCTGGAGGGTGTTGTGTCTGAAGCCGGGACCTGGGCATCGGTGTTCTTTCATGCTTATAACTGATTTTGAGGTGAGCCCAATGGATCACCTGTCTGCCAGTCATGCTCATCACACTGTAGTTTGCACACACGTCACACAGAGACACTGTTAATATATGCACATTTGTGTGCTTGAGTGGGGTTGCACTCAAGATTCTGTGATTGTACGGAGCCCTGAGTTATGCCCTGGACATCTTTACTCTCGGGTTGGTCAACTTGGATCACTGCACCGAACGAGAAATGGAGCCTGAAATCCAATCAGCGAATACACAAAAGGAAGGGGCCATTTCCCACAATCATTTCCACTGCAACACCACCTTGCATGGACAAGTCTCATTGCAGGTCAGGGACTGTGCTTCAGAGATGCACCTTTCGCAGCTGGACGATTGACCCGGAATCTCCCAAATGCCATTTTTATACACACCAAATGAGATTTATTTCAGTGCTTGCTGATTTTATTTTAGTTGAATACACACACACTCCTGTGTTTGATTTCCTTTATTATCAGTACGACTTACTTCCAAATGACTCACATACCAGTGGGATGATTTTCCACTTCAATTCATTGGAAATGGACAGCATTCAATAGGCAAGTGTGTCTGTCTGTCTGTCTGCTTCCAGCATTCTGTGGGTTCCACCAAGGGCACAAGTCCTAGGGCGCCTGAGGTCCGTTCAACAAGCAATGTAAAAACGGCGAGGCAGGTTCATAAGAAGAACACCCTTCCTCCCTTCAAATGCGTTCCAGTTTCCACTACTCAAGGTGGCGAGAATGATCCACAGATGTCCCACGTTTGCACAATTTCAACTTCTGGTGCTCACCAACAACTAACGAATGAAACACACCCCAAGAGAAAATGGTCAACCCAGTCACCTGCAATAACCTCACATGCAACCCTACAGCGCAATATGTCGTATTCAGAAATTCACACTGAATGTCATCTACCATGAACACAAACACACAGACAATCCCTCCACAGGTTCAGAAGACTCACGACTCCAAGACTTGATGTTTCCCATGTCTGGGCTCATCCTGAAACGCAGCCATCACTATCCAGTTGTCCCTCTTGTATAGACAGAAACCTGGGCTCCTCATTATTTTATGTAGGATTGACTGTGTATGCGATGGTGTGTGTGTGTGTGCGCTCGTGCGAACCCGCTCGTGGGTGTGTGTGTGTACGTGTATGTGTGTGTGAGTGTGTGCACGTGCACTCCTGCGTGTGGGTGGAGACTTTCCCTGAGATCACTGGCACACAAACAGAGCCCTCTTGCTGTGTTTGTTCTTCCCTTTGGATCTCCTGGTCCTCCCTTGCAGAGAAGTGAGTGTGCCAGTGTTCATGGACTCCTGATGTGTCACATTTGCGTTAGTTTACTTAAAACATTGCTAGGGAATAATTCTGTACTTACAAAACAGTGTGTGTGTGTTTGTGTGTGTGTGTTTGCTTGTGTGAGCTTGTGGGCATGCACAATCATGCCCGTGTGAGTGTTTCTTTGTGTGTGTTTATATGTCTGGGTGTGTGTGTGTTTGAGCTGGGATGTGCTTCCAACTATGTGCTTTTGGCAGATACGATCATCCTTTCAGGCATTGAAGGACAGGAAGTCGGACCTGTACTTTCTGACTTGAGAATCGTCAATGAAGTACAGTTAATAACACAGCGTATTTGTTTCCTTAATATCAAAGAAGAGATCCATGCAGTCAAATAGATATTCCATCGATAACCTTTCCATGTTCAGCCTATTGATTCTGTATCTGAGTGAAATGACTTGCCAGTGGGAACAAGACATGCCTTTGCAGGAAATGCCCTTGTGGAAGCTATATACCCAAATCATAAAGCATCAAGTGTTGGAAACATGCACTGAAGTTAGACGAAATACTCAGTGCACAAATTAGACTGTGAAAGACTTTCAGGAAATCATGCAATCACCGACATACCAAATGATGACATTCCCCGAATTTATGATTGCAAGAAAAGAGAAATACTCATGACATTCTATTTCCAGTGACTGCGGACGTATGACGGCAATTTAAGAAATCATGAAATCAGAAAACTTGAGTAATCACAATCTATGCCAACTAAAACCTTTGGTTCATTTAAGAAAGGATGAAAATAAAAACAACATATCACACAGCATGGGAGATAATATTTTAATACCTATGTGATAATGGATCAACATTTGAGAGAGATGAAATAAAAAGTTCTAAATTTGAGAATAGCATATAACCAGAATTAAACACTGTAAATGCCTGGGTGATGGGAGTGAGTCCCTGTCTCAAGAAGAAACATAGAGATTTAAAAGCAGGGCGTCTAAAAGAGATTTGCATACCATTGTTAATACTGGCAGTTGTTTTAGTAAGAAAGGGAAAAATAAACCATTTGTCTTAGGGATTCTTGCATCTATTTTTCATCATCTGAGATGTTGCTTCCAGTTCCAGTTAAGCATTGTGTGGTGGACTTGCTGTTACCACATTTGGTGGAAAATGTCATGCTGATGAAGGTAGACTTGTTTCCCAAACTAAGAGGGACAGAATTTGGGTGTTTCTTTGGGACTTTTGGCTTACTAGGAATAAAGATCCTGGCTCTAGGGATTTTCTTAAAATTTTTCAGATAATGAGAAAGAGAATAGAATTTAGGCCAGGCGCCAAGGCCTCGAGGTGTACAGAAGCATCCCCGGTCTCGGGGCCCATGAAATCAGGATGATTTTAGGGAGGATGGTGGAATGAGGGGAGCGTGACCTTTGGCCTCCTTTCTTTCCCTTTTCTTTTCATGGATCAGGTGTGCTCTATCAGAAGGCTTCCCCTTTCTGTTAGACAGAGTTCTGGAAGAAGAAATGAACACTGCTGAGAAAGATGTTCCACAAGGAGGAAGGAGTCACCGTTTTCAGGAGCATGATCCCCAGAAGCATGAGCAATCCAGATGCCATGGCTTTACACAGGATGCTGGAGTTTCTTTCCTCTGGATCCAGGACCTTGGCATCGGTGTTCTGTAATGCCCATAACTGAATTTGAGGTGAGTCCACTTGATAACCTGTCTGCATGTCATGCTCATTACACTGCAATTCACACACATGTCATACCGAAACCCTCTGAATGAGCATATTTATGTGCTTGAACATTGTTGCACCCAAGATTCTGTGATTCTACAGAGTCCTGAGTTCTGTCCTGGACATCTCTACTCTTGGGTAGGTCAACTTTAATCACTGTACCTAATGATAAATGTACCATTAAATCTAATCAGCAAATACACTAAAGGAAGGGGCCATTCTCCACAATTGTTTCACTCTGGTAGGTCAACTTTAATAACTGTACCTAAGAAGAAAGGGATCTGTGATGATTCCACATCAAAGAACCTGTTGACTTTTTGCCATTTGAATGAATTATGTTAACATTTAAATAGAGTTTAAAACCCCAGATTTCCCATGAAATCTAATCAGCAGATACACAAAAGGAAGGGGCCATTCTCCAAAATCATTTCCACTGAAACACCACCACCAATAAACAAGTCTCATTGCAGGAAAGGGATCCTGCTTCCAAGATCCAGTTTGCACAGTTGGAAGATTGACCCAGAATCTCCCCTAATGCCATTTTTTTTTACACCCGAAGTGAGATTTATTTCAGGGTTTTCTAATTTTATTTCAGCTGAATACACACACTCTTGTGTTTCAATTTCTTTCAAACACCTTTTAATAATGAAGTATCTTGCTGCTTCACCCCATAACTAATGCCCACCCACCGGTTCCACTACATTTACCCATCAATTACCCAATTTACCAATGAAATATCAGTAGTGAATTAAGTTTTGTGTCTTAGGTTGTATCCTTTTGCATTCCTCAGGGAATTTAATGGACACAGCTTAAATTGTGATTATAGAACAGTTGAATCAGATTTACTAATCAGTGTTATGGGCAAATATGATAGGAGTGGAACTGGGTTAGGGCAGGGGCTACACATTTGCCTTATTTCATGTAAAACAATGCCAGTTAACAATTGTGTACATATTAAACATTTTGTGTCTGTGCGTCTATTTGTGTCTTTGTGTCTGGATGTGTGTGTGTGTGTGCTGAGAAGTACTTCCAAGTATGTGCATCTGGGAGATAAGATCATTCAGCAACTGAACGACAAGAAGTTGGAACTACACTTTCTGATTTGAGAATGTGCAGTGATGTTATGTAATTAACACAGCATATTCTGTCTTAATTAAGATGGAGTGATCAATGGAATCAAATAGACATTCTAGAGATAACCTTCCCATTTTTGGCCAATTGATTCATGATCTGGCTGTGGGGACAAGCAAGTCTTTGCGTGAAATGGCCTTGTGGAAGCAATATATGCAAATAATAAAGCATCAAATGGGACTATGCCTTCAATTTGTAGAAACATTCACTTAAGTTTGATGAAATTCTCAATGCCCAAAATAGACTGTGGACCACTTTCAAGAAAACATGCTATAACCCAGAGATTAATTGGTGATATCCACCAAAGTTATGACTGCAAGAAAAGAGAAATATTCATGGAATTTTATATCCAAGGGTTTCTTGTATATGACAGCATATTTTAAAAAGTCAAAATCAGAAAAACTTGACAAACAGGAAGATATCTAAGCTAAAACCTTTTGTTCATTAAAGGAGTGATGAGAGGCAGTTCCAAGATGGCCGAATAGGAACAGATCCAACCTCCAGCTCCCAGCATGAGTGACACAGGAGACGGGTGATATTTGCATTTCCAACTGAGGTACCGGGTTCATCTCACTGGGGATTGTTGGACAGTGGGGGCAGAACAGTGAATGCAGCCCACAGAGTGACAACTGAAGCAGGGCGAGGCATCATCTCACCCAGGAAGTGCAAGGGGGAAGGGAATTCCCTTTCCTAGCCAAGGGAAACCGTGATACACAACACCTGGAAAATTGGGTTACTCCCACCCTAACACTGCCCTTTACCAAGGGTCTCAGCAAACGTCACACTAAGAGATTATATCCCGCATCTGGCTTGGAGAGTCCCACACCCACAGAACCTCCCTCATTGCTAGCACAGCAGTCCGAGATCTAACTGCAAGGAGGCTGCAAGGCTGGGGGAGGGGCGCTCACCATTGCTGAGGCTTGAGTAGGTAAACAAAGTGGCAGGGAAGCTCGAACTGGGTGGAGCCCACCACAGCTCAAAGAGGCCTGCCTGCCTACCTCTGTAGAAACCACCTCTGGGGACAGAGCATAGCCAAACAAAAGGCAGCAGAAACCTCTGCAGATTTAAATGTCCCTGTCTGACAGCTTTGAAGAGAGTAGTGGTTCTCCCAACACGGAGTTTGAGATCTAAGAACAGACAGACTGCCTGCTCAAGTGGGTCCCTGACCCTGGAGTAGCCTAACTGGGAGACACCCTCACTAGGGGCAGATTGACACCTCATACCTCACACAACCAGGTACCCCTTTGAGACGAAGCTTCCAGGGGAACGATCAGGCAGAAATATTTGCTGTTCAGCAATATTAACTCTTCTGCAGCCTCTGCTGCTGACACCCAGGCAAACAGGGTCTGGAGTGGACCTCAAGCAAACTCCAACAGACCTGCAGCTGAGGGTCTACTATTAGAAAGAAAACTAACAAACAAACAGAAAGGACATCCACACCAAAACCCCATCTGTAC